AGCAGGAATTAAGGCTCCATAAAATGATTTAAACTATAATTCAGAGAAGGATTATAACTAAAAACAAGAAACAGTGAACAAACCTGGAGGTGGAGAAGAGAGGAAGAACAGAAACAGGAGCCTCTAGAATCTCTAGAGGACATCTCTAGGTCCTCACTCAACATGTGTACTGATCCTGCAGTTTCAGGACCAAATTTGGACTATTTTGTTTTGACAGTTTATGGAACTCAACTTGCCAGAAACAGCAGACCAACAGTAACTTTAAGTCACGCTCACTGCAGCTCGTACTGTAACTGGCATGGTCTAGACTATGGTGTAAACAGCTATCAGTAAACCAGCACTTGAAGAATATGTGAAAAACACTCCCCAAGAATGCTCACTTTACAGCAAGTGGTTTATAATGTTTTATCACAAACCTTATGCAAATGATAAAAAATGATTTTTGCTTAAGCTTGAAAAGATTTATGATTGCATCAAGATACCCGTACTGCCAGCCAGCTTTATTTGAGCTTCCATGGCATTCCTTCAAGAGTCAAACCTCAATAACCAGCCTAAATAACATCTTTGGAACCTGATGCTTGCCTTGCTTACATCTGCTCCCTGTGGCTAACAACACTTTACCATGTATCCGGCTCAGCTGAGACGACTGAGCTCCAAGCTTCTATTAATAATACACTAAAATGATATTTCCTCTCCATGGGTTCCCAAGCAGTTGTTCCATCAAAACCAGTCACATGAAATAGTTGAAGAGGTTGGTGGAAAAATAACCGAACATTTCTGAGGTTGGACACGGTTTCTGTCATAGACCATCTTACTTAGTTCTATATTCAGGCTAAGGAGTGTGAGTTTTCCTCTGGGCTTATTCATTATCTGCTCCAAGCCTTGGCTTCACAGCACAAAATGGAATGTAAAAAAGAGGATGGGGGGAGCAAACTGCCTGTGACATTGCAGTGAAACAGTCTTTGGCCATCTAGCCTTAACTTCTGATAGCTCTTAGAAATATTTCACTGCATCTTCATAATGGAAGAAACCTATATGATATAATTCCACCAGCAATAGAAATCTACATGCTCGTCCATGCACACCAAGGCATCTTCTCACTATAGCTTTTGAGCACTGAATGTATATTCCCTTACCTGGTTGATGTCCCAGGGATGGGACGTCCCGTATCCACCAGAACACACCAGCAGTAGCCTGTGGAAGGATGGCATTGCACTGGTTTGTAGAGGCCGCCCTGGGCACACTCTGGAATGAACACATTGTCTTTCTGGGGCTGTTTAGCTTCCTCCAGGGCTGACTGAAGTTCTTGATCACATGACGATGCTTTTGGAAGGAAAAGAAAAAATACTGAAACAGCTATAAAGAAAGGGCCTGCTAGATTTGTCAAAGTTTTTATGTCTTTCTTTGGTTGCATATATATTGTATTTATAAAGGCTTACTACTGCTCAAATACCAGCTATGTCGGTTTATGCAGTATATGGATAGAAACTTTAGTTTCCTTTTCATGCAGCTGCTTCATAGTACAGTCTTAATAATGTCTTGACATTCTCTTTCCTATAGTAGATATAATCTATGGATAACCAAATACTTTCTCTGACACCTTAAAAAAATTCTGTACCTACTCCATAGTCCCTAAACTACTGATTCTTTTCAGAGGGAACAGTAAAATTCCCACTCTTACTATTCCTTATATGAATTATTCATCTAGATATTCATTTAGATGCTTATATTTTGTTCTTTCTTTCCAGTGTTGGAACAACTTCTTAATACAGTGGAAATTCTTCCACCTTCTTTTCTGGAGACTGTGGTATTGACCAGGTATCATGTGCTCTGGAGACCTAAGACCCACAAGAAAAAGGAAAACTTCCTTATCTCTGCACTAACAATATGTCCTGGATCCCTTCTGTATGTGAGAAAAGCTTACATGTCTACCCGTTCCTAGCCTTTACGTGAAACTGAACCAGGGGAAAAAGAACAGAAAACTCAGGGCCTGAGAATGCCAGTGAGTTACACCAATCAGTAAAAAAACACCTCTGCTGAGGATTTTTGATCACTAGTAAACTGGTCTATATGGCACTGCAGAGATGATAAATGAGACAGAATATTTACTCAAGCCATTATTTCTCCAGGAACTCTAAAGTCAGTTAAAGTCAGTCTCCTATCACATGAAACTGAGATGGTTAATAAAACAGCTTCTGTATAATTCCCAAACTAATCCAGTGAACAAAAACTGAATATTTGAAAAACAAGAATGTTGATAACAATAAGTACTCTACAAATACACAAATTACTGATAGAAAAATTTCAAGTTACTAGAATTTCAGTCAGTGAAAGATTCTCTTCTGTTACAAAAAAAAATCTCTGAATAATATTTGCTCTCCTTTCAATTCAGTTAAAGACTGGTGACACACTTATTCTGTGAATCTCTAGCAGGATTTACTTCTTGATTTTTCACAGTTGAATCCACAGAAGAACAAGTTGCATTCTGACTGGATTTTCTAGGGCATTTGTAATGAATTTCAGCTTCAGCCTAATCTCATTTACTCTTATCCACAGGGTTCAGAAAATGCTTTGCAAATTGTAGGCAAAAACTGACAGAAAGTCACTAGTTATGTCCGAATGCTGCTGTTCCTTGCCACCTTCTTGCAAATGCACATGACCAAAATCAATAAGTCTAAGTTTAAAAAGTTTAAAAAACAAGCATATCACTTGCTAACTTGATTACAAGGTACAGATGGAGTGTTTTTTCAGTTCTTTGATTTTTTTTTCCCTCTTTTGTTTCATATGCTATTTGAGCAGGACAGATAAAAATGATTGGTTTTGCATGTTTTTGTCTTAGTCTAGCCACTGACATAACCAGAGACTGAATAGCTCTCAAAGCAGGAGTTGTTAGATAACAAACTGTATTTAAAGAATCAGTGTAGTGAGGACAGAAAAGCTCCTACAAAAAAGGAAAATATTTAATTATTTGCATGTTAAAACCTTCCCAGAAATAGCTATGGTTTCACAAATTAGAAATCCATCACTAACACCCTCTTAGAGTAGCTAAAATAAATCTTTCCCTCAGTGAGTCTGGATTACAATGATTATCAAGTTACAAGATACGACAACCCTGGAAAACACATCACTTCGCGTAGTTGTTCACTTTTTATGTTTTGTATATAACCAAGCGAAAAGGAGCAAACAGGGTGAAGCAGCTGCAGTGAGAGGGAGGAAATCATTACTCCTCTTTAAACTCCATTAAATTCTTTTCACTTTCATCCTGATAAACCTTGGGACTGTTCCATTAGCTACTGTGACCTTCTCTCATTTTACATCCTTGTAGATAGCAACATAATTTGGCAGACGTGCAGGTATTATTAGCTCTCACAAACCCAGAGGAGAGATACATTTTCATGCTCTCAGCTTTGTTTAGAAAATACATTGGCTAATAGAGACTACAGAGTCAGGTCATCCAGATAGACAAAACGTCATAGCACGGAGAGGGTGTGATGGAGAATTCCCAGTACAGAAGCAGATAAGGACTGCTGCAGCTGTAAGCATAAGCTATACCACCTAATTTCTGGGCAGTTCTAGTTTCCACAGATTGAAACAACTAGCTAAGGACTTTAAGTTGACTTAAAACTACTGGAGTCATGGGCCAGTCACCTGCACTGTGGTGGGGATGTAGGAGCAGGCGTTACAGACCCTAGAGAAATGGTCTTTACTCTCCCAATTGACTTGCTGAGCCAAGATTTTCTATAAGCTGCTGCTGAAGCTAGGAATTTGTCTCTTTTGCACTAGGTCAGGTTTGTTCTGCTCTTTTTTTCTCCCTTATGTATGGTTTTAAGTCTCAGAAGTACAGAAAAGCAGTACTAGGGGAGAGACGTCGAAGGAGGTTTGCAAATGTGGGTCAGAAATGCGACAGCCAGAAAACTGGTAGAACTTACCATTGCAAGTGAGACTGGAAACAGAACAGCCAGTGACAGTACTCAAAGGAAGGTTCAAAGATAAAAAGGAATGTTCTTAATAATAGAAGTCTATAAAAAATAGACAAAAAAGTAGGATTCATACCAGATACCAAGGTAAAAGTCTGGGGGGACACTAGTGATGAAAAGTCTGCCTTTGAAGATCAGCATGAGCACAGGCAGTCAAAACAAAAAAAAATCCAAAAAACCCAAAACCAAAACCAAACAAAAAACAACAACAACAAAAACACAAACAAAGAAAACCAAACAAACCCCCTCCCAAACTTCTATAAAAGAAATGATGGTATTTTCAGGAAGGGCTTTCTCCTTCTTGCAACATTTAATTTCTTACTCTTCCCCTATGGATGGGAAATTGTAACAAGAAGAGGAATTTATCATTAGTCCTAACCTAGTTGTCAGATAAAACGTAGATTATTTTTTACAAATTAGAAAAAAATATAAATTAGAGTGATGGACACTACATCTGTCAGTTCTCTATGTACCAAATGACTGAGCCTTATCACAAATTTTTTTTGCTGAACCCAATTCATTCATTTTATTCACCAAAAAGTGCAGGATAGTTTAGTAAATGTGTAGATGTGGTACTTCGGGACATGATTTAGTGGGTTAGGTGGTGCTGTGTTGACAGTTGGACTTGATGATACTTTTACAACCATAATGATTCTATGATTCTATGATTACTTCCCTTTCTTACACAACGGCTAATGAGCTTCAGGTCAGCTACCAGGCAATCTGCTTAGCGACTGCCCAAGAGAGTAATCTCCGCAGAGTCCAATGCTTTTGTAGACTTTTGACATGGCCATTTGTGTCATTATTGCTGCTTCCCTGTTTGTTTTCACCTCTAGAGCACTGTTCTTACATAAAGGAAAATTGCTCTCAAGTGCTTACGTATAATCCCGCCTGCTTTTCCCAGAACCGGAATACTAGTCCTCCATGTAATTTCCTCTCTGAAGGAACCATTCATTCCCTTTCAAACTTTTATTTCAATTATTTACAACAGGAGTACTGGAAAGATGCAATTGTAGCTCTGTGATGACTAAGAGCTCTTATCACAGAGCTACCATACAGCCGCAAATAATTGCCCTTGTAATGCCAGAAGACTCATGGTGAACAAATGTTCATTTGCCAGGAGAACCAGTGATAAACGTCATTAGCTTAGAGAATGCCTGACAGTTTGTCCAAACAATCTGACAACAACTATGATCTGGAACCATAACAGATAGATGCCAGAAGTTCATAAAGTGAACAGGACGGAAAAAAAGATCTATGCCACCATGAAAGTAGAATAAATACCTTCATCATTAAAATGCATCAAACTTTCTGTGGAATGTGTAACTACAATAACATTCCTTCTGGGAAGAGAAAAGCACTGACAACTCCAGCTTCTTATTTTCAGGGAATATGCTTACACTATTATTTCACTTAGTTCCTTCAGTTTTGTCTTGCTGGGTAAAAAAAAAAAAAAAAAAAAAAAAGGATGCTTTTCCAAGCATGTTGGTTCAATAAAATATTTAGACATGGCTGAAAAATCCTTTCCACACAGTCTACCATGTCAGCCAGCCACACTGCAGCTCAGATGGGATCCTTAACTTCAGGTTGATAAAACTTCCTGCGTTTTCTACCCAAAACTACATTTTATTCCAGGTTCATACACAGGATTCAATACATAAATTTCAATCATGTAAGGAAATACACCTTTCTGCCCGGTTTTACACCAAGAGTTTTTGTACCACTAAATGACCATCTACTTACTCTGAAAAAGGAATTTTTGAATAATGAAGTAAAACTCTTGCTCAGCAGTAAGAATTACTTTTAAAACTTCATTTAAATGTAATGTGTGTTGCTCTTCCTATGTTATATTGCTGTTCCATTTCTTCCATTTTTAATTTAAATATTAGTTACTAAACACACTTTTCCTGTTTTAGTTCAAGATGCCTTCATAGCCCATTACAAATAACCATGAAATGTGTCTTCTGCCAATGTGAAAGATACTTCAGCTAATGACAAACTCAGTAGATAAGTTTCATATTTGGTATAAAATCATGAGTCCATTCTTGTTGCTAATGATGGATTCTCTCTTAAAAAAAGCAGTCTGCATTTCAGTGAATCAAGTTATTCTACATGAACAAAAAAAACCCTCAATACTAGTAGGGTATAACACTTATTATAAAGTGTTATACTGTAAGTTTGTATTTTATTTATTATAAATAAATCCTTATTTATTCAATACTCCATTTATTCATCTCTGATGGGTTACTTAAACTGTTAATTAGTGTTTACTAGGGGATGTCCTGGAGAAGAAAAGAGATGGCTTTTCTGAAAAGTCATCCTAAACAAACCATGTAACTGTTTGTC